CCCCAAAACCCCAAAACCCCAAAACCCCAAAACCCCTAAAAATTTGCTGACAAATGAATATTTTATTAATAAAACCCAATACCAAAATATCTGTAAAAGATGGTAAATTGTTACCTTAAGACTCTAAAATGGTCATACAGTAATTTTTTCCTCATCTCTAGACCGCATCAAAAATAGGGATATCTTCCGGCAATCAATCTCTCTCACCTACAAAGGTCAGGATACTTTTTCCAGCATTATAGGAGGTATAACCACAATCCTCATGTAATTCTCTTTGCTTATTCCTAGGTTCTCCTTCTTGTTGTTCTACAGTTCTATTCTTCTCCGAATGATGTTTAACAGGTCAGACGTGACCTGGAATCAGAATACGCTTCGTGAAGACCTATCTAAAGACACTTCTCCAGTAAGTTATCTAAAAGGTCCATTCAGTGCTGATTTATTATGCCAAGCTTGTTGATAGTAACCAAGCCATGGCTGCACTAATAATCATGGGACCACTCTAGATTCTACAAAAAGGAGGGTTCATCTGATCCCTTAAGGCTGTTCTGGGTGTAGATTGCTCATTAAAGTTAAAAACTCATATTTTACTCTCATGGTATAGCTCATCCTCAGTTCAGAAGATCCCGAATTCTATGTATCCTGGAATGTATACGATAAGCTAAATACCTTTGGAGTAAACAAAGAGAACGCCGTTGCAGAGGAGTATACTCACTATTATAGCTACAACGATAATACTGCTGAGTCAACCATGACCAATATCACGGATTTTGAATGAAACCCTGATACTACTCCAGGTACGTTTTAAGAACGACTGGGTTTTATTGAAGAATAAATTTAATGAAACCTTCAATGATCCGCATCGGATTTAAAGACTGCTTTGTAGCATTCAAGCAGTACATTATTGGTCTATTCTCCTTATTTTACCTTTTAAGACTTCTGTCAAGAGCATCTCGGTTTTATGAGCTCTTAAAATCATTTGTCTAAAATATGCTAGCTTTTAAACGCATCAGAGGGGAGGACTTATTTTGAATATATTCATGAGCTTATATATTTTAGACTACCTGGCGGAGGATGTTCTTTGTCCCAATTGGAAGGGCTTGAGCTTCCATGGGAACGACGCCAATCCGACGAAATCATTCTTTGAAGCTTCGTACTACACTTGAAACCCCCATATGTCTAATTGCGAAGACCAGGATATGATAAAATACTACGTTGACGACACAATCGTATCTATTATGGTTAGGAATAAGTACATCGACCTGAACGATATTGACAATCCTGTTAAGTACTTCTACGACGGCCCGTACATCATCAAGTATAGTAGCGATTTACATCAAACCGCTAATTTTAAGATAAGGGATCACGAAGTGGTTCTTGAAGATAGCTTACTTCCTTCCTTTACAGAGAAGGGTGCTCAACATTTCAAAAGTATTGAAGATTACACTCTAAACCAGTACAAAGATTCCCTCCAAATAGGGTCTATAAATATTGTTTTTGAGAAAGATTCAAAGGTTGACCAGCATTCTCGAAGAGTTCTTGGGATTCTGGAAGTCACTGGTATCCTTGGAGGTATTTTTGAGATTTTTGAAATTGGCTTTGGAATATTAATTGGCATATATTCCTCATTCATGTTCAAAAAGGACCTTTACAAACACATTTCACGTGCTGAAGAGAGGTATGCTAAGCTAAAATCCTCTATTAACAGTCTTGAAAGAAGGATTGAGAATGATGACAATAAGGCTAACAATGATGAGAAGAATTGAGCTGACAATGCTAATGACACTGATAATTTGTATAAAGCACAAGGCTCGCCTCCAGAAGAAAGCAAGCTTGAAATCATGCAACCTCCGGATCCTGACCCTGACATTGCAAAGAGTATTTCTAAGTTTGAAGAAGACAGAATTCCAAAGCACGATGAATCTTTCCAAAGAGTTTTGCAAGATGAAGAATTTGATGGAGGAGAGCCTGAGCAAAATTGAATTATAAGAACAAAACACAGAGGCAAGCATGATAGTAGTTTAATGAAGCATGGCTCAAAGTTCACTACATTTTTTACCAAGCTCAACGAAATGGAGAAAAAGCTCTCAGACTTTAACAATAGCTTGGACTGAATTTCTATTGTATATATGATAAAAATACTTAGAAAGCAGATGAATTATCTGTTATTAAAGGACAAAGACTTTAATGAAGCTCTAGAGGACCTTCCATACCTAGCTGTCGGAATTCCAAACCTTGAACCTGACTCTGATGAGCATCATGAGAAAAGTATGGACCATGAAGAGCCAATCAAATCTTCTGATAAAGAAGATGTACAAAACCTAGACATGAGCGCTCTAAAAAGCTCTTCAAAGATCCTCCCTATGACTTCCTTCTTCAGAGTAATTCCTGACCAAGCTCTTGAGAACTTCGAGCGTCACACAAACTTACACAACCTCAACAACCCTATGAACCCTCGGATGGCAAGGTACTTCCCTCAGGAGGAGCCTGGGCTGGTCAAAAAGCTATAATCCTTCAATAACTCTCTATTTCTTTGCCTAAATAGCTGAATTCTTTCACACACAAAAAATTCAGTGGAGTCAAATTGGAAGTTTAAGTCAATTTTAGGGATTTAAATGGGGTTTTGGGGTTTTGGGGTTTTGGGGTTTTGGGG